ATTTTTATGGGGTTTTTTTATTTTCCCCTCTTTAAAAAACAAAAAAAAGAAAGAAATCAAAAATAACAGTGGGCCCTTATAAGGAACCCTTGGTGTAAATAGTAGAAATTTTTGAGATTCTCAAACAACAAACCAATGATTCCAATCTTTTTTCTTTTTAAAAAAAATTTGTAATTATATAATCTTTTTTTTTTTTTTTTATTTTTTTTTTTTTGTTTTTATTATATAATCATATAAATATTAATATTTAATAGCTCAATATATTAAATTATACTATTTATATTGTTATATTTTTTCTATCGTCTTTATCGTTGTTGTTATTATTAATAATTGTTTTAAATATTAATTAAATAATAATATTTTTTTGTTTTTTTTATAAAAATTGTTGTTCTTATTCTCTGTTTATTTTTATTTTAAAAATAAATTAATTAATTAATTCAATTTCAAATTTATAATTAAATTGATTTGATATCTTTTTTTATTTTTCAAAAAAAAAAAGAACAAATTATTTACACATTCTAATAAATTTAAAAATAAAAATAAAAATACCAACAATAATAATAATTCGTTCATTGCTCAAATTAAAAAAACAAATAACACCATAATTTTAATTGATAGTTTAACATAATAAAATATACAAAAAAAAAAAAATATAAAAATACTTGGGTTATTTTTGTGTCCTCCACACAAAATATTATAAAATAAAAAAATAAAAATTTTTTTTTAAAAAAATTAAAAAAAAACTAAGTGGAGTTGGATATTTACCCCCTACTAATATCAAAAAAAATATAAAAAAATAACAACAGCAACAACAACAACAACAATAACAACAACAAATTAAATAAAAACAGCAGACAACAACACCTCAATTTTAATTGATAGTTTAAAAATTAATTATTATTTTAAAAAAATAATTTAATTTTTTGGTATTTAATATTTTTTTTTATTTTTTATTTTCATCATTTTATATTTAAATAATAAAATTAAAAAAAAAAAATATAATCAATCTTAAAAAATAATTATCTTTTAAATTTAAATCAAATTATTTTTACTTTTATTTATTTATTATTTTTTTATACATAATTATTATTAATTTTTTTTTTTTTAATTACGAAAACCCCAAATAAAATGTTAATAATTTTAATTTTTACTATTATCGTTACACTATTTTTTATTAAAAACAATGTAATTATTATTAATCCCCTACAATCTATTATTTATAATTAATTTTTTTTTTTTTTTATATAGAAAAATAAACATATCAAATATCCAAATGGTCCAATAAATCTACCTATTATTGGTGGTTTATATAAAATTACACCAAATAAGCAACACTTATCCCTGGATAAACTCTATCGTCAATATGGTCCAGTATTTTCATTAAGACTTGGTTCAATTGACACTGTATTTTTAAATGACCCAGATGTAATTGCAGAAGCTTATCACATAAACTCTACATCATTTATGGAAAGAATGATGTTACCAACATTTGTAATTGTTGGTAAAGGTAAAAATATTGGGTAATTATTCATTTATTTTAAATTTTATCCCACACCCCCATAAAAAAAATCACAAATTAACCTTTTTTTTTTTATTTTTTTTTAAAAATCAAAAGTTTTTCAAACATTGAATATTGGAAAAAAATTAGAGGTATTTTAAATGCTGCTTTAACCAAATCTAAAACACGTTTATTAGAAAATCTATTTAACGAACAGTTTTTTAAATTTGATGAGTATTTAAAGAAACAAGTAATTGCTAATGGAAATGTTTGTATTATTTTTTATCATAAATTAAAAAAAAAAAAAATATTAATATTTTTTTAATTTATAAACAGATACATATAAGACCAATATTAAAAAGATTAACATTCAACATTATATTTTGTTTTCTTTTTGGTGAATCTGTTTTGTATGAAGATGATAAAATCCCAAAAGATATCATTGATTTCATTCAATGTTCAGATGATTTACTAAAATATCTTAGCTCTCAACCATCAGATTTTATAAAATGTTTAAGACCATTTACATCACATAAAAAATTACATCATCTCGTAGATAAAATGACTAGTTTCGTTAAACCCAAAATTGATGAAAAATTAAAAAATTTGGATGAAGAAAAGTGAGTAAAAAAACAAAAAAAAAAAAAAAAAAAATAAAAAAATTAAATTATTAATATTTTTTATTTATTTATTATAGTCCAAAATGTTTTATTGAATACCTATTAATCCAAATAAAAAATGACCATTTACAACTTGTCCAAGTAGATGCTCTTCAATATATTTGTATTGAATTGTTGGTTGGTGGTATTGACACAACAAGTACAACATTAGAATGGATGATTTTATTTTTATCAAATAATGAAAACCTTCAAGAAAAATTATACCAAGATATCAATACACAATCGTATCCATTTTTAACTGAAAAAAATAATTTCCCATTCTTCAATGCCACAATCAGAGAAACTCTTAGACGTTCACCACCAGTCCCATTAGGTTTACCACACATGTGCAGCGAAACTACTGAAATAGGAGGCTATGTTATTCCAAAAGGTTCTTTAATTATCAGTAATCTTTACTCTGCAAACAATTCCGAAAAATTCTATTCAGACCCATTAACTTTTAACCCACTTCGTTTCATTGAAACACCAGCAAATGCCAATGTAAATATCAGCTTTTCAATTGGACCACGTGTATGCCCAGGTAAAAACTTTGCCGAAGACTCTCTTTTCTCGATTGGTACTAAATTATTTAAAAACTATAAATTCTCTAGAACTACTGATCAAGAATATGATGAAAATGCTTTAATTGGTGTTACTCTCGAACCAAAACCATTTTTATCTAAAATTACCTTAAGAAATTAAACTAAATAATAAAAAACAAATCTATATAACCATTAAACCAAAATTTAATAAAGCTTTATTTATCATTATCAAAATTGGACAAATTATTTATTTTTATATATTTCTTATTTTAGCGGTTTTTATTTTTATTTTAACACAAAGAGCGTGGCGCTTTTATTTTTTAATTTTTTTTTTTTTAAATTTTTTTTTTTTTTTTTTTTTTAAATTTTTTAAATTTTTTTTTTTCATAACCCAATTATATTATTTGTATTATATATATTTAAATTACACAATTGTTTACTATACACTATATTATATATATTAAAATTAATAAATAATAAAATGGATAATAGACCAAAAAGAGAAAAAAAAACAATTACAGATAATTCAACTTTAAAATCTATTGAATTAATAAGGAGGGCGAGAAGCACAGGTGAAAAAAGAACAGCACAATTACAAAAAGAAGATGAAGAAAAGAAAAAACAAGAAGAAGAAGAAGAAGAAGCCAAGAAGAATGAAACTGAATTTGATAAAGAAGAAAGAAAGAGAAAAAATAGAGATTTCATTGAAGGCGATGATGGATACCGTGAAAAGAGTGACAATGAAAACGGTAGTGGTGATGATGAAGAAAACAGCGAAGATGATTTCGATGACCATGACTTGGAAAACGAAGAAAATGATCAGGATTACAGTAGTGAAGAAGAAGCTATAGAAGTTGGCCGTAAAAAGAGAAACAAAAAGAAAACTAAACAAGATGGTGAAAATGAAGAAAAGAAACCAAAAGCTAAAAGAGCCCCAAGAAAACCAAAAGAAAAACCACAACCTGAAATACCAAAAAGAAATATTATGGAATTTTTAAATCCAACAGTAAAAACAAATGATACAGGTTCTTCAGTAAGTAATATAATAATTAATTAAAAAAAAAAAAAAAATATAATATTAACATCAAAATCTATAACTTAAAATTTTAGTTCTTTTTTGATAAATTAAAAAAAGATTCAACAAATACCACTTCTACAGCCAATAGTTCAAAATCAACAAATGGAGAATTAGATTTTGATGCTATGCTTGAAGATTTACAAAGTGCTCCAGTCGATGATCTTGATATTGAACAATTAAAAGTTAAACAACAAGAAATGGAAGAAAAATTAAAAAAAGAAAAGGAACAAAAAGAAAAAGAAGAAAAAGAAGAAAAAGAAGCTCAAGTATCAATTAAAGCTGAACCATTAGGTTTAGATGAAGATCCAGAATTTGAATTTGATATGGAATTTAGTAATCCAGCTCCTCAAAACAATATAATCATCAAAAACACACCCTCAACCAATACTAATAAAGCACCAAAAATTACATTACCAACTAAACAACAATTTATTTCTCCAAAAACTCAAGGTGATGATTGGTGGAGCAAATCTGATGATAGTGTTGTCTCTGTAAAGAAATTGGAAGAAATTATGCCAACCAACGCAGATTTAGTCGAAAAGAATAAGGATGGTTCATTAGAATTCTTTTTATTATCAACTGAAGAAGACAGACAAGGTAAAATTATTTTATTTGGTAAAATTAAAACAAATACTACAACCGATAAGAAGAAAGATAAGAAATCAACCACCTCTACCGCTACTTCTGGGGACAAATATTCATCATGTTGCATTTTCGTTGAAAATATGATTAGAAATGTTTTCTTTTTACCAAGAGATTATATTTTAGATGAAAGTGGTGAATCTACAACTATTCAAACAACAGATGAAAGGATTGAAAAGGAAATTAAATCGTTAATGGAAAAAAATAGAATCAAAGACTATAAAATTAAAAAAGTAAAGAGAACAAGTGCTTTTGACTATCAAGTTGCCCACAAAAATTTACCCATCTCTGAAGAATTAAATGTTTGGAAGGTTTCATATCCATCAACTCACCCAGCCTTACCTAATGATATTCAAGGTTCAACATTTAGATGTGCTTATGGTATTACTTCATCACCAAGCGAACTTTTCCTTCTCAAGAGAAAGATTATGGGTCCATCTTGGTTAACAATCTCAGCTGGCTATCAAATGGAGTTTTCAATTGGTCAAAAGAAATCATATTGTCGTTATGAAATCAAAACTAAATCTTTCAAAGATATTACACCATCAAAAGCCATCAAACCATCACCACCATTAGTAGTAATGAGTATTAGTACCAAATCTCTTGTCAAAGATTCCTCACACGAAATTGTAATGATCAGTGCAGTCATCCATGAAAAAATTAGTTGTGATGGTCCTACCCAAGAAGAAAGCAACGTCAAATTTATTACTGCCATCCGTCCATTAAGCGGTAAAGTTTTCCCACCCGAATTTCAAAAGAAAGATTCAACCAATCAAAATCTAACCATCTGTACAAGTGAAAGTAATCTTTTATCATTCTTTTGTGACACAATTTTAAATATAGATCCAGATGTTTTAGCTGGTCACAATATTGATGGCTATGATATCGAAATATTATTTGACCGCTTAGAAAAATTAAAAGTTATTCAATGGTCTCAAATTGGAAGATTAAGAAAGAGAAAGTAAGTTTTATATTCATTTTATAAAAACTTTTTAAATATTTATTTTATTAATGTCAATATATTTTTTTTTTTAATTAAAGCTTTGATAAATATAATACAATTTCAGGTCGTTTAATTTGTGACTCTTATTTAGTTTGTAAAGAATTTTTACCAAAAGAAAAGAATTATTCATTGGTCGAATTATGTAAATCTCAATTAGGCATTGAAAATAAACAAGAAATTAATTACCTTGCTATTGAACCTTATTACGATACCGCCAAAAAGTAAGTAATAATATTAAAAAAAAAAAAAAAAAATTATTAATTATTAATTATTTTTCTTTAAATCATAGATTAAATATTTTTATTGAAATTAATGAAAATGATTGTTTTGTTATATTTAAATTAATATTTAAATTACTTGTATTCCCATTAACAAAACAATTAACAAATTTAGCTGGTAATCAATGGAATAAATCATTAAAATCAAATAGAGCAGAAAGAATCGAATATTTATTATTACACAACTTTTATGAAAAGAAATATTTATTACCAGATAAAGTCTATCAATCAATAAAGAAAGATTCAAGTAATAGTGGCTATAGTGGTGGTCTTGTATTAGATCCAAAGATTGATTTTTATGATCGTTATGTTGTATTATTAGATTTCAATTCATTGTATCCATCCATTATTCAAGAGTTCAATGTTTGCTTTACAACAATTCCACGTGAAAGAAGAGAAGACGGTAAATGGGTCGAAGCTGAACCACCATCGTCCAGTATTAAAAAAGGTATATTGCCAACTGTATTAAAATCTCTTGTTGGCAAAAGAAGAGAGATTAAAAAGAAAATGGAAAATGAAAAGAATGAAACCCAAAAGAAACAATTAGATATTCAACAACAGGCTGTAAAATTAATCGCCAATAGTATGTATGGTTGTTTAGGTTTTTCAAACAGTCGTTTCTTTGCTTTGCCATTGGCCGAATTAGTTACTCGTAAGGGTAGAGAAAATCTTCAAAAGGGTGTTTCTATTGTCGGTAAAATGAATTATGAAGTAGTTTATGGTGATACCGATTCCTTAATGGTTTATACTGGTGTTCCAACATTCAACGAAGCTGAAACCATTGGTAGAGAAATTCAAAAGAAAATCAATGAATCTTATAGAAACAGTGTTATGGAAATTGGTCTTGATGGTATCTTTAAGAGATTATTATTATTTAAAAAGAAGAAGTATGCCTGTCTTAAAGAATATCGTATTGATGCCAATACTACCGCTACCGAAAGAGAAAACAAAGGTTTAGATATCGTTCGTAGAGATTATTGTGGCTTAACTAAAGAGATGGGTCAATATCTATTGGATCTAATTTTATCTGGTGAAGAAAAGATTGTACTATTCACTTTAATCAAAGAATATCTCGAAAAGACTAGCCAAAAATTAAAAGAAAACTCTTATGAAGTCGATAAATTTGTAATCACAAAAACACTCTCCAAACCAATCGAAGACTATAATGATGCTGATATTCAACCACATGTTCAAGTAGCTATCCTTCAAAAAAATAAAGGTCATCATATCCAAGTTGGTGACCAAGTACCTTATGTAATCACTAAAGGTGATAAAGAATGGTACCAAAGAGCACGTGACCCAAAAGATGTAGAGTCAATGGAAGATATTGATACTGATTGGTATTTATCACAACAAATCCTACCATCTATCCAACGTAATACTGGCCCAATCGGAACCGAAGGTGCACAACTAGCAACATGGTTAGGTATGACCAATACCAAATATCAAAGACCAGATTCCGCAGCATCTGCCCAAAGTGAATATGATAAGAATCGTCAAATTGTTTGGTCTTCAGAAGATTTTAGATATAAACAGTGCAAATCATTCAGTTTCGAATGCCCATACTGCTACAATGATAACGAATTTACATCAGTCACCAAGGCCAATAACGATGACCAAATTAGATCAGGTTTCGATTGTGCCCATTGTAATGCTAAAGTTCCTATTAAAAAGCTTTTAAATCAATTACAAATCAATATCAGAAACTATTTAAAGCAATATAATAATTGGGATCTTCAATGTACCGAATGTGAAAAAGTTTCAAAATCATATAAAGAAAACTCATATCGTTGTCAAAGACCTCAATGTCGTGGTAAAATGATTCAATCAATGACAAGTTCAAAACTTTTTAATCAAATTAGTTACTTTTTAAAATTATTCAAAACCGATCATGTAAACAATTTGTCCGATTCAATCCCAGTTGAAGATCAAAATATAATCAAACAAGCCAAACAAATTATAGAATCTTTCCTCTCCAAATTTGAACAATATAATGTAGATTTATCATCACTTTTATTAAAAGAACAATCACTTTCTTCATTTAATGGATTTTTATTAAATAAAAGAAATAATAATAACTATTGAATTAATTAATTAATACCATTATTAATTAAAAAAAAAAAAAAAAAAAAAACATACAAATAAAAATTTAAAATTAATTTATTAAATAATAAAAAAAATACAAGTAATGTGATAAAAATAAAATTTTATTTCTTATAATAAAAATAGTTTTTTTCACCCCCACAAATAAATAATTTAAAAAATTATTATTTATCTCTTTTTTTCTTAAAATTACCCCAAATTTTCATTTAAACAATGAAAAAATTACAAGATTTGCCAGATTAAATTTAAAAATAAATAATAAAAATAAATATAAAAATAAAATAAAAAAAAAATTAAAAAAAAAATATTAATGTATTTTTGTTTTAAAAAAAAAGGGTTTTTTTTTTTTTTTTTTTTTTTTCTTTTCTTTATTATATTTTTTAATTATTATATTTATTTATAAGTTTATAATTTTTCATTAAAACTTAAAAAAAATATAAAAAAAAATTAAAATAAAAATAAAATTTTTCAAAATTTAAAAAAAAAAAAAACCAAAAAAAAAATCATTTAAGTTGGCATTCTATATCATAAAAAATATACACACAAAAATTAGATAATATAATAATATAAATAATTTGTAAATAATAAATAACCATTAAAAAAAGTATAAAAAGCATTAAAAAAAATAAATAAATAAATAAACTGCAGCATTTAAATAAATTTTTAATAGTTTTATAAGTAAAAAGCAAATAGAAAATTGTATTGGTTAATATTTAATTATTAATTAATGAATAACGAAAAGGCCAGCGAGCCTTTAAACAACAACAACAGCAGCAGTAACAATAACAAAAGCAATATTAATAATAATGATAATTCCTCTTCTTCACCAAACCATAAAAAATCATCTTCAAGTGGATTTGGATATGTTGTTGATACAGTTTTAAATAAAGTTTTAAGATCATTAATTAATAAAAATATAAAATCATTGTTAGTAAACCCAATACAAAAATCCGAATTTGAAACCAGAATTTTAGAGTCTCATAATGTAATATTAAAGAATGTTGTTTTCGATCAAGAGAAATTAAAACCCAAGTTAGTTGGGCTCCCATTCAGTCTTGGTATGATAAAAGTTGCCGAGATTGAACTAACCATTCCATTCGATGATCTCTTTAAAAAATCAATTAATGTTTCAATTAGTGGTTTAGAGGTCGAGATAATGCCATTAGATATTAGTAACAACCCATCTAATTCTGCCTCTGCTGTTGCAAAAGAAAAATCTCAAGATGAAGCATTAAAGGATTTATCAAATAGTATATATGAAGATGAGGACGAAAATGAAAATGAAATCGAGGTTGCTGAAATGCATAGTTCTATTAGTTTACCGTTATTAAACAAATTAGAATTAATGCTAAAAAAAATTTTATATGGCATCAATATAGAAATTGAAAATTTTTCACTCTTTTTAATAGATAGTAATAATAATAGCAATAATAATAACAGTATTAATAATAATAATAATGGATTTGTCGAAATCAATATTATGAAATCAAAATTTGAATATATTTTAGATTCAAATAATGATATTCAATTAAAAGAACCAATTTATCCAGACCAGCAACAACCACAACAACAAGAAAAACAACAAGAAAATGATAATGATAAACCAAAATCATTCTTTCAAAATATTATGAACATGTTTTCACCAAGTAAATTTTCAGGTAGAGGTGGTAGCTTAACTGATATTTTTTCAACACTTATCCAATTGCCAGATATTAGCTTTCCAAACTATGTTGCTCAATTTTCATTCCAACAGATTTCAGTAATTTATCACAAGAATGAAGGCTCTTTATTAGAAAAACAAAGATTTTATTTATTTTCAACTAAAAAGGATGATACTCATTATATAAGAGTAGATGATAATCACCCAAATCAAGATAGAATTAATATTCAATGCGAATTTAAATCAAGTATCTATGGCAATATTAACAATATCCAATTGAATGGTCTAATTAATCATTTAACAAATATATTTTTAAATAATCAACAACCACCTCCACCAACCACATCGAATAATAAAAACAACAACAACAACAACAACAACAATAATAATAGTAACAACAGTAATAATATTAACCTACAACAATCTTTATTATATAATAATAATGAGGATAGTGATGGTAATCAAGTTAAAAACATAGCCTTTGAAGACATTTCATCATCCAATCATGAGATCAATTTATTAAATCAAAGCTATAGCAATAGTAGTTATAATAATAATAATAGTAAAATGGATTTAAATGAAGAGATTGATAATATCAGTAATTTTAGTAATGACAATGTTCAAAAAGATATACATATCGACATCATCGTTCCACAAATATCCTATTACTTGCATTTACCACTTCACGATAATAATAATTGCAAGTTAAGTAAACCCAAGTTTGCAATCCATTTAAATGGTAATCAAATGCGTTGTTACATAAGTCGTATTGCAGGTTTCTTAAACACCGATATCCATTTCGAATCGATCGATGTAGACCTACTACCAAATGGTATCGAAAGAAAAGAAAATGAAGATCTTCAACCAGGTAGATACAATTGCTTAAAAATCAGTGGTACTCCAGCTATAAAGATATCAAAACGTTTAGAGGTACTCAGCGATAGCGAAATTCACTCACTCTACCCAATAGATTCATCACTTTATACTGCCAACCCATTCTTTCAAAGCCACTCCACTTCATACTACAACAATGAGCATTCAATCGAAGAGGCCAACAGACTATCAACTTGCAATATTAATTGCTTTTTACCGACTATTGATTTAAGAATTAAAAAATCAGATTATGAAAATTTAATTTCATCATTCGTATTATCCTCACAAGAATCAGAATCAACTAGTATATTTACATTATTTTCTACAACTGGTAAATATATCATTTATTTATATTTTTTTATTTTCTCATTTTATGTACTAATTTTTTATTTCTTCAGCACACTTCCAATTACTATTTGAAGATATGGATGAAGTGGAAGATAAAAATCCAATCGAGAAGTTTACATTGGATATCAATAGATTCGATCTATTAATGGCAATCGGCTACCCAAATGAAGATTTTAAACCAATATCAAGTTTTACATATATTTCATTAGACCAGTTTAATTCATATGTAAACTATTATCAAAAACCAAATCAAAAGAATACAAGTTCAATTTTATTAAAACCCGAATTATTTTTAACAAATCAATTGGTCGAATTAAAAAACCACCAATCTAAAAATCAATTTAAAATGCCAACTGAAATCTTTGAAGACTATCAAGATGATTATAAGCAACAACAACCACAACAACCAAATAATTCAGATGACGAAGACTACAATAACTTTATGTCAAAAGATGATTATCTATACACATATTGTGACTCTCTAGAATTTCAAGATTCAAAGACATTTATCGCTTTTGGTTCAATTTGTTTCGTTCCATCAATGTTATTTATAAATAAATTTATAAACTGGGTTTCAATTTCAAATGAAAACAATACTATTGAAGATCAAGATCAGAAACTAAAACAACAACAAAAACAGAAACAAATTAAACAAGAAAATAGTATAATTAATTTATATAATATTGTAATTCATTTTGGATCACATAATTCACCAAGACTAAAAATATCATCCAGCTCAATGGTAATTTTACAACTATTTGATTCTGGCGAAGATGAGGTCCTAGAGTTTCAAATGCATCAAACAAAGATTTCACTCAGGGAACTAAACTATAAGAACCAAGAATATAAAACAATTGGTGAATCATACAATTCAAAAGAGTTACTATTCCTATTAAAAATGAACCCAGAAAAGAAATGCTCAAAGATTGAGATCATAGAACACTCTTACGATATTACAATGACAAAGAAAGAATTTACAATTTTGAAATCATTATTCCCAAGATTTTTAAATAGACTATCATCACTAATGGTTATTAAAGAAGAAAAGGTTGAACCAAATCCAGAAACTATTACAAAAATTATTGATAAGATTGATAAGATTCATATAAATACTGACTACGAAATAGACCAAGATTTTAAAATCACCCCAAACAGATCTCCCTCCCACTCCTCTATGCCAAACCCAAATGTCACAAAACCACAGCAATCATCTTCTCAATCGTCAACAAATAAAGAGAATATAGAAATATCAAACCATCAATCAAAAATACCAGATTTTCAAATTTTTATTATAGATCTAGTACTTTATATTCATATAGTAAGCAATGATAATAATAGTAGTATAGTATTAGAAGCTCATATTTCAGATTTAGTACATAATACTTATGATCAAAGCAAAAAATCAGATGATCTTAATAATAGTCTTAATGATATATCTCTTCAAAATAATTATAATAATAATAATAACAATATCAATAATAATAACAACTTATTAAAAAGTATTAGGGACTACGATAGTCTATTGGTTGTTAATATCAGCTCTTTATTAATTAGAGATAATGTTAGTAACTATTATCAAAATCTATTAGGTCCACTAAGCCATTTCCAAATGATAGCAATCGATGACTTTGAAATTGATGATAGCGAAAAAGAAAGAAAAAAGAAGCAACAACAAGAAAAGCTATTAAAACAAAAAGAGAATATACTTTCATTTATATTTGCCACTAGAAAAGATCCATTCAATAGGGTTTATCATAATTTAAAATTACACATCTCCCCATTATTTTTAGAATTTCATCAAAAATCTGTCGACTTTTTACTATACTTTTTCTCATCCGACGAACTCTATAATAGTTTTGATAGTAATAATCAGCAGCCACAACAAGAACAAGAAATTTATTATGATGAGTTTGAAATCCACCCATTACAATTTAAAGTAGATTATAAACCATCATCAATTTTATCCAACCACAGTTTTATTCAAGGCGGTTTTGTTTGGGTATTCCAAATGATACCACTAAATGACGCTTACTTTACATTACCACCTATTCATATCCATGATATTGGTAGTAAAGAGCTATCCGAAAGTATAATGTCAATTTATTCACCCCATTTATTTGGTAAAAATATATTCCAATATTTAGGAGGTGTAACACCCATTAGTATTGGTATTGGCATTGGAAAATCAATATTAGGTCTCATTATTCATCCAATTAAAGAAGCTAAAGATAGTGAAAATGTTATTGCAGGCTTAGGTAAAGGTTTAACTAAAGGAATGAAAAAAATCACTGTTGAACTTTTAACAACATCATCAAAAGTTACAGGTTTTGCTTCAAAAATATTTGGTACTCTTAATAATCAAGCATCACATAATCAATCAATCTGGACTAGCCAACCCGAAAATTTAACTGAAGGCGCTAAAAAAGGTATGTCCAAAATATTTGGTGGCTTTTACAATGGTGTTAAAAGTGTAATCGATCCATTCTCGCAATCTACTGGCCCTATTAACTTTTTAAATAACATGTTTTGGGCTGTACCTGGTCTCATAGTTAATCCAATTTTGGGTATTAGTGATGGAATAACATTCTTTTCTTTAGGTTTAAGAAATAGTTTAGATTATACAAGAATCGAATTAGAAAGAAAAAAATTCAAACCAAAAACTTTAATCAATAGAAATAACCATAGCAATAATAATAATAATAACAACAACAATAACAATAACAACAATATCAATAATAATAATATGGATAATCATAATGTGGATAATAATTATTTAAAATCAACCAATATTGACTTTTAAAAAAAAAAAACATATTTTTATTAATAACCAAATCTTTTTTTTTTTAAATGGTTAATTAAATTTAACCATCAAAAAAAATAAAAAATAAAAACAAATAAATTTTTTTTTTTTTGTATAAAACTCTTTTTTACATTTCAGCATTATTTTTAAAAATCTTTTTTTTTTTTTTTTGCACTATGATTCCCCAATGATTCCCCAATGATTGATCAATCATCTAACCATTTGGTACAACTCTTGTTTTTTTTTTATAATAAAAATATTAAAAATTTTATTTTAAAAATAATATAACTACGTTGCAATTAAATTAATTTGATGTAAAAAAACAAAACAATTTAAAAAAATAACAATGTGAGGTCCTTTATTTGATTTATTTTTTATTTATTTATTTTTTTTTGTTTATTATTTTTTTTTTTTTGGGTGTATATTTATATTTTCACACACTCAAATATCTAAAAAGCGTTGCTTGGCACCCCAAATCTCGATAATCAGTTACTAAAAAAAAAAAAATTGTTTTTTTTGAATTTTTTTGAATTTTTTTTTTTAGGTTTTTGAAAAAAAAAAAAAAAAAAAAAAAAAAAGAAAAGAAAATAAATATATAGCTAATCAAATATTAGCTTACATATAATAATTTTATTTATATAACATTTATCAAGTGGTGTTGTGTTGTTTTTTTTTTTTTGTTTTTTTAAGAGTCTTTTTTTTTTTTTTTTTATTTTTATTTTTACAAATATATTAAAAAAAAAAAAATTCGAACACTTTACTTTTTGTTATTGTTCAATATTTCATTTATTAAAGTAAAAAAAATTGACACTGGTAAGTTATAAATAGCCTTCACATACACACACTCTCACATTATCACTCACACACACTCAAATCGCCCATCATAATCATATTTTTTCATTTATAATAAATAAAATTCATATGTGGCTCAGATACACATATTATTATAATCAATAGTGTGTATTAATTTTTAGACTTTCTTTCAATTGAATTTTATTTATTTATTTATTTATATTTAATATATATATTTGGTAAAATTATTTATTTTTTTAAGTTGGTGTGTTGTGTTAAAAATATAAATAAATATAAATAAAAATAAAATAAAAATAAATTTTTTTTTTTTTTAACTTTTCAGATAAATTATAGTGTTTTTTTTTATTTTTTTTTTTTTAAATTATTCATCAACTATTTTTTTATGCAAAACAAAATTATCATTTTTTTATATAAAAATTAATAACTATCAGTAAAATATTAATATTGTTTTTAATAATTAGTTTAGAAAAATAAAAAATAAATAGTTATAAATAGATATTTTTTTATTTTATATGTTTATTACCAAAAATGTCAAATAAAAAATTTACAATTAAAGGAGCTACAACTAGAATTAAAGATGGAGTTGGTTTATATTTTGGTTTGGAGAATAGCTATAATACACAAAATGATGAAAATGGAGCTAATCAAAATCAATCAGATAATAATGTAAATCAAAACAATAATAGTAATTCACAACCAAATAATAATAATAGTCAATATTATGAAGATGATGAACCATATTGGATGAAGGACTCCTTTTGGGAAAAAGCACCACAATATAGAAATGATATAGAGATGACTACAGTTTATCCAGATTCACCTCCACAATATAGAGCAGATAATAACAACAATAGTGTATTAAATCAACAACAAAGGGAATCAATGACTATAGAGTATTATCCAAACGAAGCAATGATAACTCCAGATGGTAGTGGTAAATTAGCAACAAGCGCAGAAGGTGGCGATATGGATGAGGATGATGGTGCAACTCGTAGAGGAAGAGGCAGAGGTAGAGGCAGAGGAAGAGGAAGACCAGGTGCTGTTAGTGGAAGAGCAGATGGGGCATCTACTGGAGGAAAAAAACATGCTAGACCATCCACATTGGGTCGTGGCGTCAGCTCATTATCATTAAAGGAAGATCATAACGATATGCAACAACCACCAGAACAATATACACCCTATTTTATTATTGCAATTAGTATTATCGATTTAGCAATGTTTGTATGGGAGGTTATATACAATGGAGGGTTTGAAGCATGGAAAACCAATCCATGGTTTGGTCCATCTTCTTATACACTCTTAGATGTTGGCGCCAAATATACACCCTATATGCTACAGGGTGAATGGTGGAGATTTTTTTCACCAATATTTCTCCATGTCGGAATTTTCCATTATTTAATGAACATGGCTACTCAGTTACGTGTTGGTATGCAGCTAGAACGTGCCTATGGTGGTCATCGTATCGTTCCAATTTATTTATTATGTGGTGTTATGGGTAACCTTTGTAGTGCCATTATGCTTCCTCAATCAGTTCAAGTAGGTGCTTCCGGTGCAATTTTTGGTTTTTTAGGTGTATTATTGGCAGATTTAATAAGAAATTGGGGTGTTTTAGCAAGACCTTATCTTAATTGTGGTACATTAGCTTTTACCATCATTACATCCTTTGCAGTTGGTTTGTTTTTACCGGGTGTCGATAATTATGCACATTTTGGTGGGTTTATTATGGGTATTTTAACTGGCTGGATATTTTTACCTTCTTTAACTCCAAAAAGAGCCATTGGCAAACGTTTGTTACTATTATTTGTTGCAATTCCTCTAACCGTGGGATTATTTGTTGCTCTATTTATTGTATTCTATAAAAATATTTCACCTTCAGAATGGTGCTATGGTTGTAAATATTTAACATGCTTGGAATTTTTAAGTTGGTGTAATAATTAATAATATAAAATATATAATAATCATTATAATATATAAATAATAATAATAATAATAATAATATAATCTCAATGTAAATATCACTTATAGTTTTAAAATGTAATAATAAATTAATTATAAAAAAAAAAAAAAAAAAAAAATTTATACAAAAAACAACAATATATAGAATAATAATAATTCAATTTCAATTAAAAAGACGAAGATTTTAAAATAGAATAATAATAATACGTATATTTATAATATTTATAATATTAATAATATTAATAATATTTATAATAATAATAATATTAATAATAAAGTTTTCTTTTAAAAGAAAAAGGATTTAAAGTTTACGATAATAATAAAATGGGTTTTTTTTTTTATAATATTTCTTTTATTACAGAAATTAATTAAATGGTTCTGTAATATGTGTGGATATTTTTTTTTTTTTTAATCTGTAATTTGACATTGAGATATTTTTATTTTGTTTAAAGCTAATTCATTTTATTTTTATAATAGATCAAATATTTAAATTATGACATTATACAAGTTCATATTTATTTGTTTTTTTTTTTTATTTATTTTTTTTTAATTTTTTTAATTTTTTTTTGTGACTGATTTTTTTTTTTGGGTTTATATTTTTTTTTTTTTAATTCACTTTCAAATTTAATTAAAAATGAACACAGGCAATTGTAATAATAAATTAAAAATTTTAAAAGGTAGAAATATTATTATTAATAATAGTATTAAAGAGGCATCCGTATTAGTTAGGTAAATATATTTCTTTTTTTTTTTTTTTTTTTTTCAATCAATATTAACCAAAATATTTATTTTTAGAAATGGTATTATTTGTGGTATCAAAGAATATAATTATGAACCAACTGAGGAATTTGATTTATTAATTAGCAAAGAGTTAAGTGAAAATAAAGATATTGTTATTATGGGTGGTTTGGTCGATAGCCATGTACATGTTAATGAGCCAGGAAGAACTGAATGGGAAGGTTTTGTATGTGCTACAAGTGCAGCAGCAGCAGGTGGTGTAACAACTATTATCGATATGCCATTAAATAGTTCGCCAGTTACAACCTCACTCGATAGTTTAAACAAAAAGATTGAAGCAATGAAGGATAAGCTTCGTGTAGATGTTGGTTTATTGGGCGGAATTGTTCCAGGTAATTCAAATGAAATTAAAAGAATGGTATTGGAAGGTGGTGTCGTTGGTTTCAAATCATTTTTAGTTCACTCAGGCATCGACGAGTTCCCACATGTTCAAGAAACTGATATTCAAGAGGCAATGGAAATTATGAAATCATTGGCTGTAGAAGAAGGTGGTAGAGATGTTGTTATGATGTTCCATGCTGAAATTGGTGAGCCAATTGAAAAGGCTACTGCCAAATTAATTGAAGAGAATGCCGACCCAAGAAAATATAATACTTTTCTTCAAAGCCGTCCCAGAGAAGCAGAGAATATTGCCATCAATATGATTTTAGAGTTATCAAAGAAAAATAATGTTAGAACACATATCGTCCATTTGTCATCATCTGATATTCTCGACACTCTTGACAATGCCATTCACAAAGAAAAGATTCCAATTACTGCAGAGACTACATTCCATTACTTATATTTTGTTTCAGAAAAAGTACCAGATGGCGAAACACTCTATAAATGTTGCCCACCAGTACGCGAAGAAGAAAATAAAGAATTACTATGGCAAGCTCTTCAAAGAGGTACCATTAATATAATTGTCTCTGACCATTCACCATGCACTTTAGAATTAAAGTTAGTAGAGGAAGGGGACTTTATGAAAGCATGGGGTGGTATTTCATCATTACAATTAGGTCTCCCAATCATTTGGACAGAAGCCAAGAAGAGAGATATCCCAATCCATAATCTTTCAAAATGGATGAGCGATGAACCAGCACGTCTTGTAGGTTTAAATGATAGAAAAGGTTCAATTAAAATTGGTAGAGATGCTGATTTTGTAGTTTGGAATCCAAAAGAAGAGTTTGTTGTTGATCAAGATAAATTAATGGTTAAAAACAAGCATTCACCATACCACCAACAAAGACTTTTTGGTATTATTTATGAAACTATCTTACGTGGTGATTCAATCTTCAAAAAGGATCAAGAAAGAATTACAAAGGTTACCGGTCAACGTTTAATTCAAACCAAAATCCATACCAATCCAACTTATCCAAAACCATTCCTTCCAACTATCGAGTTACTTAATAGTTTAGATGAACCTGAGTTCTTTAATTGTATTCATCTTCTCTTTGAAGCTGCTCCACCACTTGCTACAAGATTATACGCTAAAAAACCATTTAGATCATACCAAGAATTAATTAATGAAGCTGAATCAATTATTGGCTCTTTAGGTGACGAAGATAAGATTGTCGTCATTAATGCACATCCAAGAATTGGTCTCAATCCAGCCGAAATTAAGAAAACATCATCAATTAGTTTCCGTGAACAAGGTTTAGAAAATGAAAAGATTGACGAACGTGTCATTGAAATTTATTCAACATTAAAAACCTTAAATGAACAATACGAAAAACAATTTGGTTTCAAATTTGTCGAGTTTGTTAATGGCCGTTCAAAAGAACAAATTATTCCAGTATTAAGAGAACGTTTAAATAACTCAAAGGATCAAGAGTTAAAAACTGGTTTAAAAGCTATGACTGATATTTCAAATGCAAGATTATCAAAATTAATACAACAATAAAAATAAATGTAGTTTTAAAAAAATTAGATAATATTTTAAAAAAAAATATATTTTATAGCTTTATTATAATTTTATTTTATTTTCTTTTCTTTATATTTTGTGGTTGTTTTTTTTTCTCTCTATCATTTGATTCTTGTTCATTTAGTTCTTCTTCGCTTATTAAAAATTGTTTAAAGTGTTCTGATCTTTTATTTGCCATTTTAACAAATAGAACAATAATTGGTATAAATAAGAAACTGATTGAAAGGATGATATATTCTATATTATCTAAAATGAAAAATGAAATTGAGGTACCACCACAGTTTGGTTGCTGTAAAAGTTCTTGGATAAATGTTTCATTTGCACCGGTAATAAAGCAGGTTGAGCCTTTTGCATTATCTGCATAACAGTCGAAACCATTATAAACTTGTGGAGTGGATCTATGTATTTTATCCATATCTATATTAATTGTGTTACCTTTGAATTTGTTTCCATAGTCGGCTAAACTAATATTTGAAAATCTACAATAAATAGATCCAGCAGAAAGAACAGCTCTATTATCAATAAAGGAATTTGATTTTAATATTACTTGACTGCAGTTTTCAAAGTAATTTGAACCGCCATACGAACCAAGGTTTTCGACAAATTTAGAATCTTCAATTTTAACATTCTCAGCAATGTAGAAAAATATTGAGCCACCATTGTTTCCAGACTTGTTTTTATTGAATCTACAGTTTAAAACTTCAATATTTGTAACCTTTGAAATAGAAATTGAACCCCCTTGTTGAATTGCAACATTATTTTCGAAAACAGAGTTTTCAATTGAAGCATTATTGAAGCCAGATAAAGATATAGCACCTCCGTTATTTGATTGAATATTATTATTGAAAATGGTATTCTTTAAGTTGAAATTGAAATTTTTACGACCTTCTATGTCGGCACTATTGGTGTTTTTTAAATAAAGTGGACATCCTCTAATGTTTTTGAAAATACTATTCTCTACTGAAAATGTTGCAGTTTCAAATGATTGATTTGATTTGAAATTAATTGAACCACTAAACTTTGGAATTTCTTTATTATGACTACCAATGAATATTGAATTTTTGATTAAAAGTTTAATATTATTTTTATTATTATTGATATTAGTTTCTTGAAAGATATTTATAAACTGATTTTCTTGATTTTCAAACTTGCAATTCAAAACATTCAATGCTAAACTATCATGGTTTAAAGATTCTATAAAATAATTGAAGCCTTGGTTATTTCTAAATGTAATACCCTTGAAGCTAACTTGTTTGCTTGCTGATAAAATGTTGAACATTGGCAAATTGCAATTTGATTTCTTAATTAAAACAACTTTATCCTCTTTATCTTGGTTTTCCTCAATTTCTTCTAAAATATCATCCTCATAGTCTTCATAATAGTAATCGTCTTCAGTACTATCTTCATCCTCTTCGTGTTCTCTAATTGTGACTTGATCTTCTTCATCAATGAATTTTAAAATTGGTTTTTCTTTGAATGATAATTTCTCTAATGTTAAATCGAAATCAATGTTGAATGATTCAATATTATCATAAACACCATTTTCTAATAATAATCGTAATTTATTGTTTTCTTTATTAAGTTTTTTAAAAACACTATTAATTGCAAAATTAATGGTTTTACATTTATTTTCTTTATTTAAACCACATTCACTATTATCATTGCCATTATTTGATATATATAAATCTATATTATTATTAGATGAGGATATTATAAAAAATAAATTAAAAAATAATATAAAAAATGAAATATAATTTAAATATTTCATTTCTTATTTTTTCTTTTTTTTTTTTTGATAAAATGAAATAAAAAAAATTTAAATTTAAATTTTTTTTTTTTTTTTTCCCATTTTTAAAAAAATTAAAAAAAAAATGAAATTTTTTATAATAAAAATTTGTTTTAGATATTTATTGTATTAATTTTATAATAAAAGTAATGTCCCAACCACCAATTCCCGATACAAGATATATTGTTACATTAGATAATGTTCAAGTTAAAGAAAATAATTTTATACATTTACCAAATGAATCAAATGTACCGGGACTAATTCATTTAACAGGTGTAAATTTAATGATAAAAACATCAAGTACAGCAGTATTTGTTTTAGAAATTTACTCAAATACAGATAATGGATATATAACACGTACTCCTATAGCGCATAATCAAACAGCATCCTATGGTGGATATACAACCTATATTTACAATTCAAATTTAGATTTATATTGCAAAACATATTCACCACACCAAACCAAATCAGAATTTTGTTTAGTTTTTTCAATACTTTCATATTCCCCAGTTAAACCAACTTTTGCAGTCAGTGGATCTATAAATGGAGTTTTAACATTTAAGCCTATTTATTTTAGTACTCTCAATACAAGACTTGGTTAATAAAAATAAAATATATAAAATAAAATAAAATCTATTAAATTTAAAAATAAAAAAAGTAATTTTAAATAATAATAAATACATAATATTTTGTATTGGTTTGTTTTTTTTTTTTTGTTTTTTTTATTTTCTACTTTTTTTTATAAAAAAAAAAAAAAAATATGTAAAAATATATAAAGTTTATTTATATATTTTTTAAAATTCGAACTAATTAATAAGTCGAGTCAATTTTTTCAATTTCTATTACAATTTCTTTTTCTTCTTCTTTTTTTTCTGGTTCTTCTTCTTTTTCTTCTTCTTCTGGTTCTTCTTCTGGTTCTGGTTTTGATTCTGGTTTTGGTTCTAGTTTTGGTTTTGGCTCCGGTTCTATTTTTGGTTGTGGTTCTGGTTCCACTTCCATTTCTATTTCTATTACAATTTCTTTTTCTTTTTCTTTTTCTTTTTCTTTTTCTTTTTCTTTTTCTTTTTCTTTTTCTTTTTCTTTTTCTTTTTCTTTTTCCTTTCCTTTTCCTTTAACTTTTTCCCCATTTACTTTTTTTCCTTTTTCATTTTGGGTTTCAACTTTTAAAATCTTTCTTTTTTTATTTGGTTTCATTGTTATAATTAAACAACAGGTAAAGAAAGCACTAATTGTACGATTTAATACCATAAATGTTTTTTCATCAGCATCACTATCTTTTTTGTAATCCTTGTAGGAGCACCATAAAATTACAATAGTTAAAATTACAGCCATGTTGGTAAGAAAAGCAAAAATCGAAATTCTTTTAGCCTTCTTTTTCGTTTCTTTTGTACAAATAGTTGAATTTGGGGTTAGTTGTTTGATTAATAAATATTCCTTTCTAATGTTGATACCAATAAGCAAATAGTTGATAAAGATGAATATAATGATAACACCTAACACCACAAGGATTGCTATGGTGTTATAAAAAATTGGGAATATAATACAGAATATAATAAGAGATAGGATATTGGTCACAATGATGATCTTTTTTAACCATGGCAAATAGAGGGTAACACCGGCTGCAATCTTGATTTTTGACAACTTTTTGGACCAGATGATAAGAATCCACATGAATGCAGATATTAAAAATGCAACATGGACCATAAACAGAAAACGATGGGCAAGTATATTATCGGTTTGGGTAATTTGTAATATAATTTTGATAACCATAAACAGTGAACTTAACGAAGTTTGGCACAACGAAATGAAAGCAGCTGATTTTATATTACTATGTCTATACAGATACGCTCTTCTTGAGCCTTCTGAACATAAACCTATAAATATAATAAAAAATACAAAGGCATAAATTTTACAAAATGATACATCGCAAATATTAACATTAAATATTGGGTCGCAAAAACATTGTTTTACCACTCCATTATTGGATGATGAATTATAATATGCTGATTGTGATGGCACATTCCAATCACTAATTAAAAAAATATTATTAGTATATTTACTATCAGACATTATTTATAAATAAATAAATATATTTATTTATTAAAGGGTCTGTTTATTATAATATTTATTTATTTCTTTATTTATTAATTTATGAATTTATTTATTTATAAATATATATATATATTTGCGGAAATTTATTTTTTCCAAAAATTATTTTATATTATTGGGGTTAATTAATCTTTGTTTAAAAAAATCTATTAATAATGTTTTTTTTTTTTTTTCTTTTATATTAAAAAAAAAAAAAAAAATAAAAAATGTGGGAATAAAAAATTATTATTTTCTTTTTTTATTATTATATATATATAAATAATTTCCAGTATTATGAGATGATAAGTTTTATACAAGTTTTTATTAAATGTGTGTGTGTGTGTATGTGTGCTGAGTGATTAAATAAAAAAATAATAATATAAAAATAAATAAAAAATAAATTATTCTTTATATTTTATATATTTCTATTTCCTTTATTGTAAATTCTTTTTAATCTTTTTTTGAAGAAGGGGGTGTGTTTGTGTGTGTGCTTTATTTTTGAATACATATTAAAATTAATTTTAGTTTAATTTTTTAAGTGTTGGTAGTTATAAAATATATAATGTGTGTGTTATTTAAACATTTTGGGAATTATTATTTTTTTCATTATTTTTTTTTTTTCTAAAAATAGATTAATACAGAATTTTTGTTTTGAAATGGGGGTATGTGTTGAGGATGATGTATGTGATAGTACACAATAAATTATAAATCTCTTAGCATTTGAATATATATGAGTTTATATTTTTAAAATTATTATAATAAAAAAAAAGAAGTTACCTTAGAGCATAAGATCATTAATGATTTTGCATAAAATTTGTATTTTTGTCCACTTTCGTACCTTTTCAAGATCTAAAGTTTTATTATTATTAATAAAATTATTTTTATAAGGAGTTATTTTAAATTTTATGAATATTTATTTACGATAGTGCTATTATTTTTATTATTTTTGAATTTTTTTATTTTCAGAAAAAAAAAAGAAAGAGTTATTCTATTATTATCACAATTAGGTAATTGTGGTGTTGGCATGAGAGTTATTTTATTTTTAAAATAAATTTTTCTGATTTATTAATTTTTAATGAATATGAAAAGAAAAAAAAAAGGAAAAAGAAAATTTTTTTTTTTTTTTTTTTTTTTTTTTGCAATGGGGTTAAAAACTTATTTTTTAATTTAGCGTGGGAAATTAAAATTTATTTGTTTTAGGTGTAAAAAAAAAAAAAAAAAATTTTTGAGGGTTTCATGAAAAAAAAATTTAAAAAATAAATTAAAAAAATTGATCACAAATGAAATGTTATAATTATGCAAATAGTAAAATAATTATTAATAAAAATGAAATAATAACAGTAGATATCGAAACCAAACGATCAGGAATAAAATTAAAGAGTATAAGGGAAGAAAGTGATTTTAATTTTTATAAAAGATTATTTCAGGATGGAGAATCAATTAAAATGTATGCAACAGGTAGAGTTTTAAATGATGAAGAGGTAATGAAAGTTTTTAATAAATGGTATAATAGGTATAAAAACAACGATCCTTTTTCGTCATTTGCTGTATTTTTAAATAACGAGTTTATAGGTCATTCAACATTAGGTCACTCTGGACATCCAGGTATCTCGGAATGCAGTATACTATTATTAAAACCCTATTGGGGTAAGGGATATGGATATGAAATATCAAATACCATGGTCAACGAATATTCGCATACCCTAATCGAAGAAAATTATTTAATAGATGGCGAACCATTAAAAAAAGTGTTGGCTACTGCAAGAACTGATAATATACCATCAAATAAAATGTTAATGAAATGTGGTTTTAAAAAAACAAAAGAAAATATATTATATGGGAATAATAGAAATTTTTATGAACTAAATATAAATAAATAAATAATTAAGAGAAAAAAAAAAGAAAAAAAAAAAAAGAAAATAAATAATACTCTTATTTAATTATCTGTTAATTTATATTTTATTATTTTATTAAAAATTTTTAAATTTTTGTTTAGTATTATAACAATTTGTTATAAATAAAAGTTTAAATATACTTATAAATATTGGTAATAAGCATAATGTAAATATTGGGTAAAATAAGAAACCCCAGTTATTTGAAGCAATTAAAACCCCACTAAATAGATTCTTCCAACCTACAGACCATATTGACCACCACTCGAAAAATAAAAATACTGGGTGAGAAAATAGGCACACCAATAGCCATAAAAATTTAATGATTTTGGATCTAATTGAACACTCCATTAAAAACCCTGTAAACTGAATCGTAGGTAATGAAAAAATCATGAACAAACATGCAAATTGATTATTTAACATCATACACATTAAAGAAACTAATGAATAGTCTATTATATATTAATAATTAATAATTAATAATTAATAACCAAACAATATTTTTATAATATTTAAAGGTTATATTTACGTAATAATAATAATGATTGTAAACCATACCAATCATAAGTTAATATTGGATATTTTGAAATAACTATATTTTTTATATATTTTGAAACTGGTGTTAAAATGAGTATATATATAATAAAAACAAACAGCTATATATAGGGAATGAGGCTTTGATAAATATCAACTTGATTTGAATAAAAATCTATATTGATTATATTTGCAGGCTAAAATTAAAACTATTAGTTTATTTTTAATTTTTTTAAAAAATTAAATAATTCATTACCTTTAAATCATTTGATGGTATAAATCCTATATATGTTAAAATTGTTGGTAATAAGTATAAAAGAAAACAAAATGTTATTGTTGAAAAGAATTCTGGCATTGCTGATATAACTCTAATTGGTAAATTGTCTACTGTTAAAATAAAAGAAAGAAACTGGACACCCATTGAAACTACTAAAACTATTGTTGGTAACAGTGCTTGACCGATATCTATAAAGAAAACAGCACCTGCCATAACATACCATGTATATGATTGATGTAGTTGTTCGTCAGCATTATGTAAGTGACGAACCACAGTTTCCATAATTTTACCTAAATTTAAAAAAGTTGAATTGCTTAAAGGTTGTTTATATTCGCTGAATGTATAAAAATATTAGTATTTTGAATAGTGCCATTAATAAATAAAACCATTTGTTACTTTTTAAAATTGTGGACTTTATGCAATGGTGTATTTAAAAAATCTATATCCCAGACGTTATGAGAGGAATCAGTACTAATACCAACTGAGTTTATACCATATTTTGTAAAAATTGCATGATTTGATCTTGGTAACGATAATGCGGAGTTCCACATAAACACTAACAAACCATAGATGGAACCCTCAACAGGTTCATCTACCATATGTGAATTAATTCCAGCAGGTATTTCATTGAGGAATGTGGTTGTTGTAACTGTATTTATAATATCTAAATTTGATAGTCCCCCTTTTAACCCCTCTGGATATACTATAATCTTTTCCATTTCTTGGTTACCAACCCTATTCAATGCTATTGCTCCATAAATTTTTCCTCCTCTTTTAAAAACTTTATTATCTTTTATCCAACCAATTTGATGTTTATCTCTAGATGTTTTTCTTGAAAAATTATTTTTAATTGGGGGTGGAGATGAAAAATAATCATGTATCCATACTGAAGAACCTGAAATATCCATTGATGTACCACCATTCATTTCACCACCTTCGCTAGTAAATAAAAATATTAAATCTCTTGCTTGCCAGGTTGTATTTTTCATATACTCTGCAAATCCTATTAAAAAACCCACTGCTCCTTTGCTATGCCATTGATCAAATGATGTGGTTAACACAAAACACTCTGTACCTAATGATTTAGTTGCCTTAACAATCCCAACAACATTAACTCCTACCCTATCTGAAAAAAAAAAAAGTTAAAAACTAAATTAAAACTTTTATAAAGTTTCACAATAAAAAACTATAACTTACCAAATGATGAATTAAAAAAATGTAGTTGTGTATCTAAACCAATAGTATCTAATTGATTTTTAATCCAATTTGCACTCTCTAAAGCTTCATTTGATCCTAGAGATCTGTTTGGAAACTATTTAATAAAAAATTAATAATTATGGCTTTACTACTTTTATTTTAATATAATTACATTTTCACTGAATATATTTGAATAGTTAATTGATTTTTCTGCAAAATTATTTGATATAAACGGACTAACTGTGCATTGCAAATTCTTTTCTGAAACATAAGTTTGAGAACCAAAACTAGGTAGTAATAATACCAATGCAATCGATACAAATTGTAATAAAATTGATAAAAGAGTTATTAATTTAATATTTTTTAAAAAAGGTAATATTAAATTTATTAGTTTTGTGCTCTGATGTTCAATTTCATGTATTAAACTATCCATTTATTCCTTAAAATAAATATTATTTTTATAAATAAATAACCCTTTAATTTTTTTTTTTTTTTTTGATTATAATTAATAAAAAATATTAAAAAAAAAAAAAAAAAAAGTGTGATTGTAAAAAAAAGGGGTAAGTGGTATTTTTTTTTAATTTAATTTTATTTTCAAAATTGTTTCCTTTTTTTTTTTTTTGTTTATAATACTAATCTCTTGGTAAATAATAAGGTAATATAGAAGTTCCAAACAGAATTTTATAGAAACTATTAAGGCAATCTGCAATTTGCAAATCTTTATATAATCAATTAAATTGTTTTTAATAAAGATTTTTTTATTTTTTTTAAAGTTTTTTTTATTTTTTTTTGATCATTTTGTAATTTTATTATTTTGATGGCTTTGTAAATATAGTATCTATAGATTTACCTAAAGAAAAAAAAAATATAAAAATTAGTGAATTTTTATTGTAAAATAAAAAATTAATACTTTGTAATATTTAAATATTTTGAAGGAATGAAATAAAGGTTTAAATTTCATAAATTCATATTTGATAAATTTAGTTTTTTTTTCGAAATTGTTTTATTTTATTTTTTGTTTGTTTAAAAAGTTAAAAATTGTTTAAATATTTCTATCGATGGCTTTGACTTCATTGTTAACAGTATCGAGTTTTGGAGCATTGAGGGCATTTTGTAATCTCATATCGATAACTTGAGTTGGGGCATCTACACCTTTAACTTCGTTGTTAACAGTATCGAGTTTTGGAGCATTGAGAGCATTTTGTAATCTCATATCGATACCTTGAGTTGGAGCATCAACACCATAAATTTGTTGGTTAACAGTGTTAACTTTTGGAGCATTTGTAGCATTTGAAATTGAAATTGAATCAGTGGTAACAGTACCGGCTTCAACACCTTTAACTTGAGTATTGACTGTATTGATTTTTGGAGCATTGATAGCACGATTAACTGACATTGAATCGGTAGTAATGGTACCCTTTTCAACACCATAGATTTGTTGATTAACTTTATTAACTTTTGGTGCATTGGTAGCATTTGAAATTGACATTGAATCGGTGGTAACTGTACCAGCTTCAACACCTTTAACTTGAGTATTAACTAAAGCAACCTTTGGTGAATTGGTAGCATTAACAACTGATAATGAATCGGCAACTTGGGTGGCTTTTTCTTTTGGATAATGATTATTACAATAAATTTTACCTGATGAATGTGGTTGAACAGTCTTTAAATTTAAAACTTGTCTGCATTCTGCACATTTAAAACAAACTTTATGCCATGATTTACCAAGTACTGAAAAAGCTTCAAGTGGGTAAACAGTTTTGGTACATCTAAAAATAGATATAAAATAAATCAAAAATTTAATTAATAAATTTAATTTTAAATTTTCTAATTTTAAAAAAATATCTTACTCTTCACATTTAGCAGCTGACATTTCTAATTTTATATATATATTACAAGATGGTAGAGATTGAAAATATTTACAAATACAATTTAAATAAATAAATAAATAATAAATAATGGAAAAAAAGATTTTTTTTTTTTTTTTTATATAAATTTTTTTTAAAATTAATTGATTTTTTAATTTTTTTAAAATTTTTTTCAAATAACCAATCAACCAAATGGTTTCAAAAATTTTATTTTAAAACCTTTGGCTTTTTGTGGGAATATATTTAAAATAAACGGAAAAAAAAAAAATTTTGGTTCCATAATTTCCAAAACTCTTTTATTGATTTCTTGTCACATTTTTTACCTTCTGATAAAAAATAACAATAAAAAAAAAAAAAAAAAAAATTATTTAAAGAATAAGATAACACAAATATGTAAAGTTTTATATAATTATATCTATATTTATCAATAAACAATCAAGTTTTTTTTATTTTTATTTTTTTTTTTTGAAAAATAATTTTTTTATAAAATAATTTTTTTAATAAATTTTATTTTTTTTTTTATTTTTTTATTTTTTATTTTTTAATTTTTATTTTTTTTTTTTACTTTTTATTTTTTATTTTTTCTAAAATTTATCACTTACATTACAACATAAACATTGTTGAATTTGATTTACCAATAATACCGATACACCCTTCAGAGGTCAATTGAAATATAAATAATACCCTTTAAATAAAGTACAAACCAATAGTTAATAAACATAATATTAATTCTCCAACCGATTTATTAATTTTTATATTGTGTATATTATAAAACATTAACAATAACAACAATAACAATAATAACATAACCTGAAACCACAGTGGCGGCAAACAGCAACAAACATAAAGAGTAAGATTAATTAATTAATTTTTTTTAATATTAAAAGTTTTATTTGAAATAATAATATTATTAAATATACACAAATTAAAATACACATATAAAAAAAAAATTAAACACACTCACACAATCAACTTCTCACACACCATACACCACACAAATTAACATACACAAAAAATAAAATAAAAAAGAAATATTTTTTATTATTTTTTGATTTTAAAATAGAAATATTTTTATTTTGTAGTTATAGCATAGTTATATTGTTAGTGTTATTGTTTTTTATTTTTTTTTATTAGTGTGTTATAATATACAATACAATTTGTATTATATGGATATTTTTTTTTTTTTGAAACATTTTTTTTTTTTAAAACATCACTTTTTTTAAAAGGTGTTCTATTTTATTATTATAATAAACAAAACTAACATTTTATTCTATTTTTTTTTTTTTTTTTTTTTTTTTCTTTCTTTTTTTTTATTTTTGTTATTGTTAATATTTATTTTATAATTTATTTATTTTTAGGTTATTTTTTTGATAAACAGGTTTTTACATGTAAAATTAGAACAATAATATAAATTTTATATGCTTCCTTAAAGTTTAGAATTTTTTTTCAAATTAAAACTATCTACCAAATATTATATATTTTTTAAATAAATCAAGAAATAAAATTAAATTATAAATGGGCGAAATAGAGGTAGGTAAACCAATATCTTTTAATCAACTATTCAAAAGCATTTTATTAATATTATTATTTATATTAATAGATAGAAAATAGTGTAATTATAATTCAAAAATGGGTTAGAGGGTGGCTCGTAAGGAGACAGCATATAGATTTTTGTAAATATTAAAAAGTATTATTTCTTTCTATTTTAAAATATTTTATACTAATTCTGTATTATTATTTATATTTCAGTTAAAAAAATTAAAATAAGAAAATTTGTTATTAATGAAATTATTGGTACAGAAAAGAATTATATTTCAAAGATAAATCATTTATTGGAGCATTTAAAGAAACCATTATTAGAGAATTCATCATATTCAAAAGAGATAATTTATGGAATTTTTTCAAATATTGATGAGATTAGAGATCTTCACATCGATATATATAATAGATTGATTGAAGCTAAACCATTAGTAATAACTGAAGTCTATTTAGAAATGGTATATATAATAATGAAATAATTCTAATATCAAAAAAACAAATACAAATTATTAATATAATCTTTTTATAATTTTAGATTTCAAAATTTACAATATATTTTCCTTATGTTAAAAATTATAATAATGCATATAAAATTTACACAGAATTATCAGAGGACGAAGAGTTTTTATCATTAGCAGAACAATTTGCATATTTACCAAGTTACTTAATTTCACCAGTTCAACATACACCAAGATATATAATGCTATTTTCAGAGCTTACTAAAAATACAAATCCTCAAAACCCAGATCATCCAAATCTTTCAAAATTAATTCAATTAATAAGAGATATGGCAAAACAAATTAATGATTGTATAACATCAAATGTAAGTCGAAACAGTTGTATTTTATTAAGAATAATTTCAGTTTATTAATATTTTTCTATTTTTCTATTTTTCTATTTTTCTATTTTTAATAATAATATTACAGGATAATGATGAAGAAGATGACATTGATATAAATTCATTTAGTAAATCATCAACAAGTCAAAGTTCAAATAGTCGTGGTAATATAATGAAAAGACCAGCATCAGCATCATCAAAAAGAAAACCAAGAAATAGTATTGCAATGCATAAGAAGGCAATCGATGCAGTTTTGTCAGATTCGAGCGGAGCAAGTGCAAATAACGATTATTCACATCTCCCTTCCTATTTAAGACCTACTTTGGCATCATCAGCATGGTCAAGGTCTAAAGTAGAGTATTCACCATCACCAAAATGGAGATTTTCGATGAGCAATAGTATTTCCGACTCATTTGATCCCTCAATACCATTAGAACCTTACACAGATAAAAATTCAAACTCAACACCAAAAAAATTAACCAACAATTCATCTTCATTACCACCTTGGAGACCTGCTTCGAAATCTGTAAGTTCAGTTGCAGATAATTGTACAAAAATAACAAAAAAAACACTTTTTACTCGTCCAGTTTCACCACCACCAAAACCAAATTTTCACATGCCAATTACTTCTACAGCACCCAGTGGGAGTAATGGGAGTAATGGAAAAGGGATACAACAACACCAACAACCACAAACCCAACAACAGGCCCCAATATTAAAACCTTTACAAACTTTAGCAAATAATGAAATTCAATTAATACCCTCATCGTCATCGTCATCTTTAAAACCACCACTTTCACCTTCTAGAAACTCACCAGTTTACCCATTTTCAAATGATAAAAATATTCCCATAATGGAGAAAATTTCAATAAGTGATAATAATTCAACAATAATAGTAAATACAAATTCAACATCAGTCATTTCATCAGCAACTATAACTACCACATCAGTAACATCTAAATCTACAACAATATTATCAAATAAATCATCTACAACAGCATCAACTTTGACAACCAAACCAGGTGTAAAAAAATCATTATCATCAACAAATATTTTTAGTCAAACTCAACCACCAACAAAAGGTTCATCATCAAATGTAACATCATCTCCTATTTCAAGTTCTACAACTGTTAATAATCATAAATCTCCAGAAAAAACAGCTTTGTCAGTTGTTATTTCAACACAATAAAATATTTATTGATAAAACAAATATAATATAATATTTTTTTATTTAAAATTTAATTATTTTTATTTTTTTTTATAAATAACTATTTTACAATTTCTAAATTATAAAATTGAAATTGGATCATTATTTGATTGTTGTCTTCTTTAAGTGATTTTTATACTTTTGCGAAAAAACACTGCACTGCAAAAGATAATAATACTTTTAATTCAAGACCAGCTTTATTATGTTTTTGTTCATCAAGATTTTCACCAAATTTCCTTCTATTGATGTCATTGGGATTAATTTTTTTTTTTTCAATATTTTATTAGAATTAATAACACAATCGTTATTATAAAAAAAATAAATAAAAATAAAACCTTTAACATTTTTTAAAAATAAAATATTGTAAAAATGTGGTTTTTGAGAGCATTTTATTTTTTATAAAATTAATTTTTAATTTATTGATGTTTTTCATAATTTTATATATTTTTATTTCGTTTAGGTGGATAAACCTGTTGCAGTGGCATCTGTAGTGGTGGCATCTGCAGTAGTAGTGGCATCTGCAGTAGTGGTGGCTGGTGCAGTAGTGGTAGCATCTGCAGTAGTGGTGGCATCTGCAGTGGTAGTGGCAGTGGTGACACCTGCAGTAGTGGTAGCATCTGCAGTAGTGGTAGTAGTAGTAGTGGTGGTTGTACCGGTAGTTGATGTACCGGTGGTTGATGTACCGGTGGTTGATGTACCGGTGGTTGATGTACCTGTAGTTGATGTACCAGTGGTTGATGTACCAGCAGTAGTTGATGTACCAGCAGTAGTTGATGTACCAGTGGTAGATGTACCGGTAGTTGATGTAGCACCTGGTGTACTAGTTGTAGTTGCTACAGTGGAGGCAGTTGTTGCAATAGTGGATGCAGCAGTAGTTGATGCAACTACACATACTGGGTGATGAATACAACATGGGAGACGTGGGTTGGAACAGTTACCTGGAATAGTAACACAAATCATACCAGCATGAATACATGGAAGATCAGCACAGGTTAAACAATTTGGAGTTGGTGGTGGTGGTCTTGGTCTAATACAAGTTGGGTGACCTTGAACCATTCTGCAGAAGAAACCATTAGCACATTTGGTAACACGGCAAAGTTGTGGGAACTGACTATTTAATAAACAATGTGGACCACTATTTCCATTGAAACATGAAAAGCCTGGTGGGCAATGATGCCATTTACAGGCATTATCTTCTGGTGCACAAGTAACAATCGATGGACTGATGACTTCACATTCATAGTTGCTTGGACAACGAGTAGCATTGCAAAGGAAAGCACTGCTTTGAACACAAGTTGGTATACCATTTTGTGAAGTGCAATGATAACCTGGTGGACAATTAACAATACCACAATGTTCAGTTGGTGGCTTTGGGAATGGTGGAACTCTATCTTTGACACAAACTGGGTGGAAATTTAATACTTCACAACGTGAACCGATTGGACATGAAAATTCTCTGCATTTAAAGTGACCTGTATTTTTATCACCTCTTACACAAACTGCAGATCCTTTAATAACTTTACATTCATAGTCTTCTGGACATTTGGCGTTACGACAGTTATTTGATGGTGGTGGTGGTGGACCTCTCTTTGGTGCACAGTGTGATCTACCATTTTCATGAACACAATAGAAACCCCTAAATTTAAAAAAATAATAAAATTTTAGAAATTAAGATTTAAATATTTTTAAAATTAAATAAATACTTACCATGGACATTGAACTTTACCGCAACCATGATGTTCAGGAACACAAACTGCATGATGACCTTGCTCTTCACAGAAGAAATTGTCTGGACATGAAATTTGGGAACATTTACCATGACCTCCATGGTCTCCATGACCACCGTGTGATGGGGCAGTACATCTTGGAATTCTTGGGCAACAGCTGGTACCATAGCATGGTTTTGATTCAACCCATTCACATTCCAAACCTCTAGCTTCACAACCGAGTGATTCACATGTTGTGGTATTTGGAGTTGGATAATACTCCATATTTCTTGTTGGTTTACAACTTGACCATATTTCAAAAATTTCACCGGATTGTGTATTCTTCATGCAGGATAAATCTGAGCCACAATCTCCGTCATCTTTAACACAGAAAAATTGTTTTTTACCACAACATGAAACAAATGGCAAATATCTACAACCTCCGGTTGATTTACATTCATGTTCCCCTAAACTTTCACAATCTAATAAAAATTAAATTTATAAAGTTAATTATTTTTTTAAAAAAAAAAAAAAAACATTTATATTGTATATTTACCTCTATTATTACCACCATGGTGTCCTTCACCACCATTTCCCCATTGACCTTTGCCCCAATGTTCTTGATTTGCATAGGTTGGAGCAATCATTAGAACCAATGCAACCAATAAAGTTGTAAAAAATAAAATTCTCATTTTATTTATATTTATTATGTAATTATTTATTGGTTGATTTTCTTTTATATATAAATATTATTAAAAGGTTTTAGTTAAATAAATTTATTACCTTGAGAAAAATATAATTTAAATATTATAAAAACTGAATAATAATTAGTAAAACTTTATTATTTGTTTTTTATATTTATTTTATTATTTTTGTTTGGTTATTTATTTTGAAATGATAAATTTTTAAAATACAATTTATAGACTTTGGTTTTTTATTATAAATTAAATCAAAAAATTGGAAAATTAAAAAAAAAAATAAAAAAAAAATAATATTTACAATTATATTCAATTATTATTAATTTGCTTTATATGATTTTTAAATATTACAATTTAAAAAATTGGCGATATATTTATTGGTTTAGTTGCAAATAGTTAACACTAACACACAAGCACATATGAAAATTCAATTGTTTATTTTAATTATTATATTATTATATAAACAAGGTAGTGTAAATATAAAAAAAAAAAAAATAAAAAAAAAATTTTGAAAAAATTCATACAAATAACCCCTTTTCTCATACAAGCTTAACTCACACCCACACAGTTGAAAAAAAACACAGACATTCAAAAATTAACATGAAACAGTAACTTTTTGATTGCAAATGAATAAAAATAGAAAATATTTTTTTAATTATATCAGATATAATAATATTATTTTTTTTGAAAATTCACACCCAAAATATTTATTTAACACAAATATTTTTTTTTTTACTTTTTTATAAATACAAACAATATGATACTCTACCCACTTTTTCAAAAAAAAAAAAAAAAACATTAAACACACCCACACTAAAACAATTAGCACTATATTTTTTTTAGTTTTTTTTATTCATAGAATACATTGTCAATAATGATTTTGTTTTTTTTCTTGTTAAATAATACATATAATATAATATTATTAATAATTATAACAATCATAATAAAAACTCATACTCACAATACCACTTTCAAAAAATAATGTTATTAGATTAGTAAATTAATATTAATACACTACTATTTTTTTTCATTTTTCAATTAACACTTTCCCCCTCATTAAAAAAAATGCAAACAATCACAAATTATTTTCATATAATTATAATATGTATTTTTAATTATTACTTAATTTGAATAAAAATTTAATTAATATTCAATCTATCTATTTATATAATAACCTATTTTTTTTTGCCCAATATTATTATTTTTTATTTATTATATATTTAAAAAATATTTTTTTTGCTCACTGTGTGCAATCCTAATTTGTTATCATTACCAATTAAATTAATGTTCAATTTTTAATGATTTCATTCTATAAAGAGATGTTTGTGATTATTTTTAGAATTTAAAAAAAGACTTTATTGGATGTTATAATTTTTAAATACTAATTTGTAATTTTTTTTTTATATTTAGAAGTGAAGTGGGAATGCATAGATTTAAATAATTATATAACCTTTTTTGGTTCATCCAATCAAAATCCTTTTTGTAAATTAAAACAACAGATCCATATTACAAATTGATCAAATTCATAAATACAAATTAATAATAAATAAATAAATAAATTAAATAAAAAAAAAAAAAAATTAAAATTAAAATAATAAAAAAAAAATTAAAATTATAAAAAAAAAATCTAAATACATTCAATCAAATTTTTAAAGAAAAATAATGGAATAAAAAAAAAAAAAAATATTTCTCCCATACTCTCTCTTTATAATAATGATACATTTAAATAATCATATTTTATTTGTTCAAATCAGAATCAAACAAATTATCTCTTTTTTTTTAATCTTTTAGAAAAAAAAACATGAATGGTCATTTATAACTCTATTGAGTGCTTGGACATATTCATACTTCGTTTATACAAAACTCATTTAGTTGTTAGACAAATGGGGAATCTGGAACTTTCACGATTCCTTGTTTTGTTGTTTTAACAACGCCCCAAATAATTAAAGAAACAAAAAATAATATTAAAATAATAAATCTAAGTTTTTTTTTTAAAAAGGTTTGATTTATTTCAAAAATATTATTTTAAAATAATTAATATATTAATTTTATTATTATTGATATACATTGAATTATATTATTTTTGTTTGTCTAAAAACATCGATGAAGTTTTTTAAAAAGATTTTTTTAATTTTTTTTTCGTTTGCTCTTTTTTTTTCTTTTTATTCATTTTTTTATTTTTATTTGATCAAAGAAAATTTTATTGATGGTCTTTAAAATATACATTCACTATTTATTCATTAATGTAAATATCAATATCAAAATCAATCACAACCACACACCCACATATATTTTAAAAAATACCAAAAAAAAAAAATAAAAAAATAAAAAAAAAAAAAAAATAGAAAAAATAAAAAAAAAATTTTATTTTTTTATTTTTTTTTATTTTTTTTTTTACTGTTACTATATTTTATGCAGGTATCATATATAAATAATATATTTTTTTTTTTTAATTAATCGACAAGTAAAATAAAATAAATAAAAACACAACAGAATAAATAAACTAAATAAAATAAAATAAAATAAAAAAATATAATCTTTTATATATGATAAAATGTCATTCATCAATTCACCTAATGATCAAGTATGTATAGTTTTTTATTTATTTCTTTATTATTTTGTTTAAAACGTATAACTAATAACGGCTATTATTATTTTAAAATATATAGTTGAGAATCAAGTGTATATTAGGAGATGATATTCGAATTATTAAAGTAAATGCAAATGTATCATATGATGGATTAATGAATCAATTGGAGCAGGATTTTAATACACCAATTCTTATTCACCAATATGAAGATTATGAAGGTGACAAAGTTACAGTAAAGAGCGAATATGATATAATGGAGGCAATCTCAATGTATTTTGAATTAAAATCATTAAATCCTTCAAAAATTATATCAACTAAATTCTTTTTAAAACAGGGATCTCGTAATGGTATGAATGGTGTTAATAACAGTGGAAACAATATAAATAATAGTAGTAGCAGTATTGGTAGTAGTGGTAGTAATGCTAATGTATTTACTTCGACATCACCAACCCAAACTATAAATTTAGCAAATAACAGTAGTAATAATGGTGGATCAATAAGAAAAAATTCAAATGCACCACCACTTCGTACACCACCTCCATCACCACCATCATCATCACCAAAAACCTCTCCATACTTGGGAAGTGTTAATGGTAGTAGCGCCTCTTTGTTCGAGTTCTATGGAGCCAATGGAAATGTAAATAATACTAATAATAATAGGTATTCTAGAGAAATTACACCTCCTCTTCGAACACCACCAGGATCACCAAAATTTGAAAGAGCACTTAATCAACAATTACAGCAAACTCTATTAAATTCTCCACCACCACTTCGTACTCCTCCACCATCATCACCATCATCAATAGCATCCTCCCCTAAAGATTCATATTTCTTTGATCAACAATTACATATAGAAAATCAACCATTTCATTTTGATTCTATAAATAATAGCCCATCAAAATTTAATCAAAACAATGGTTTTTTAACAGATAAAGAAATTCTTGATAATCAATATCAAATGTATACAATAAATCAAAATAATATTTATAATAATAACAATAATAATGTATTTAATAGTAATATAATAAATAATAACAATAATGTATTTAATAGTAATATAAATAATAATAATAATAGCAATATATTTAATAATAATGAAAGTTTGGTTGCTTTTAGAAAAGATAGCGGACCAAAGTTAGTTAGACCTTCTTCACCAATTATAATGAATAATAATAATAATAATAATAATAATTTAAATAATATAAATATAAATATAAATCAAAGTAATAATATAGTAAATACAGATTTTCCATCATTAATTATAAATGAACACGAAGAATTAATATCAAATCATGCAATTAGATGGCAAAAGGGTCAAATTTTAGGAAGAGGTGGATATGGTGCAGTTTATTTAGGTTTAAATAAAGACACTGGCGAACTATTTGCTGTAAAACAATTAGAAATGACTGATATGACAAATGACCCAAAATTAAAAAATGTAAATAATTAAATTATATTTTTTTATAATACGGTGGCGTTATTAACATTTTTTTTTTTTTTAATATATAGATGATTTTATCATTCAGTAAAGAAATTGAAGTTATGAAATCATTAAGACACGAAAATATTGTAAGATATTTGGGTACATCATTGGATCAAACAAATTTAAGTGTATTTTTAGAATATATTCCAGGTGGATCAATTTCATCGTTATTAAGTAAATTTGGAGCATTTAGCGAGAATGTAATAAGAGTGTATACCAAACAGATTTTACAAGGTTTATCATTTTTACACAGTAATCAAATCATACATAGAGATATTAAAGGTGCAAATATATTAATTGATACTAAAGGTACTGTTAAGCTATCGGATTTTGGTTGTAGTAAATCATTCTCTGGTATTGTGTCACAGTTTAAATCAATTCAAGGTACCCCCTATTGGATGGCGCCCGAAGTAATAAAGCAAACTGGTCATGGAAGATCATCTGATATCTGGAGTTTAGGTTGTGTAATTGTAGAAATGGCAACTGGTTTACCACCCTGGTCAAATATTAATGAATTGGGGGCCGTTATGTATCATATAGCTTCAAGCAATTCAATTCCTATGATACCTGACCACCTATCGTCTGAAGCTTTTGATTTCCTACATCTTTGTTTCAATAGAGATCCAAAAGAAAGACCTGATGCTAATCAACTTTTAAAGCATCCTTTTATAACAAACTTAGACGAATCTTGTATAAATTTAGTAACCTCATTAAATCAAAACAATAATTTATTAAATATTAATCAACCACCACAAACATTATCATCATCACCAAATGGATCAATTATAAATAATAATATAAATAATAATAATAATAATAATAGTAACAACAGTAATATTAATCAACAGCAATCACAACAACAAAATCAAACAAATGTATCAGCTGCATCATCATCAAGTGGTGGTACTGTTAGAAATAGATTTTCAATTAGCTCAGGGTCAACTAAAAATAATAGATATACACCACCTTCAACAGCAAATTTAATGTTAAATTCCCAACAGCAATTAACTTCATCAGGTTTATCAACATCAGGTCAACTTTTAGGTATAAATTCGTTATCAAAAATATTATTAATTCAAATCTTTAAAAACTTTTTACCTAAAAATGTTGGTGTTTTATCAAGAGTATGCAAGAAATGGAGAATAGCATGTGAAGATGAAGATTTATGGTTAAAATTTTATTCAGAGCGTCTAATCAATAAACCTAAATTTGTAGTAGATCAGACCTATCGTTCCTATTATATCAACAAAGTTTATAAAGATCAAAAGCATTGGTTCGAAAAAAAGATTACCCAAACTACACTCAAAGGTCATGATAAAACTGTATTCTGTGTCAAGATTGTATCTGACCAATATGCATTAAGTGGTGGTGATGATAAAAAGCTAAAAATTTGGGATATCAGCAGTGGAAATAGTAAGAAGGGTAGTGGTGGTAAATATTTATACTCTTTAAAGGGTCATGGAAACGCAGTTAAATCGGTAGATTTTCAAAATGATTTCTCAAGAGTATTCACTGCTTCATCAGATTTCACTTCAAAGATTTGGAACGTAAAAACTAAAAAAGCTCTTTATACATATACAGGCCATCGTGAAGCGGTAACCTCAATTAATTATTTAGGTGACATCGAAAGTAAATGTCTTACTGCTTCATTAGATAAAACCATTCAATTGTGGGATTCAGAAACTGGTAGTTGTCTTTCAACACTTCGTGGTCATACCGACGGTATTCTATCAGTGAAATATGACCAATCATCGGAACAACCAAATAGAGCTGCATTCTTTAATCATACTATTGTTAGTGCATCTTTGGATAAAACTGCAATTGTATGGGATACTAGAATTTCATCTGCTGTTAGAAAGTTTACTGATCATTGTGATGATTTGCTCTGCTGTTATGTTTTCGACCAAAAAGTTATCACTGGTTCATGTGATGGTAAAATCAAACTTTGGGATATAGGTACATGCAAAACCATTAGCACTTTCACTCCATCCGAAAACAAAGATAAAAACTGGGTTTGGTGTTTACAATTTGATCAATCAAAGATCATTTCTTCTGGTGTTACTGGTGTTATTCGTATTTGGGATATCTATAACGAAAGGTCTTCTAGAATTATAGGTGGTCACCATCAAACCATTTTCTCTTTGCATTATAAAGATCAAAAATTAATAACAGGTTCTCACGATAAAATGGTAAAAATTTGGCATAATGAAGATTAAATAACTAATAATAATAATAATAATAATAAATAATAATGAAATAATGATAATCTATAATAATGAATAATCTCTAATAATAATCAAAAATTAATTTTAATTAATTAATTTTAAAATTAAAAAATAATTGTTATAAAAAAAATCAAAAAATCTTTCCTTAAGATAATTATTTTTTTTTTTCAATAATAGTTGTGAAATTAAAGATAATAATAACAAACTTTTTTTATAATAAATCAAAAATAATTTGTAAAATATTTGTAATCTCATTTCAATTTTTTTTTTTTTTTTTTTAATTTTTACAAATTTTAAAAATATCAGTATTTTTTAAGATTTTTTAGTGATATAAAAAAAAAAGTGTGTATGATAGTATATAAATACCATATACACCCAAAATTTCAAAGAAAGAACACAATAATTGAGATAAAGATAAATTAAGATTAATTGTTACTTTAATTTAAACTACAAAAATAAAATCACCAAATGTTTATCTAAATTCATATGATTTTTTTTCCTAAAGTGTAAAATAATTCGAAATAATATATATATATAAATATATATTTACAATACCTTTGGAAAATGTAGAATTTGATTATATTTATACGAAATCATTTTTTTTTTTTCTTTACTTTTTTAAATTTTTTATAATGTTATATATCGAAACTAAAAATTATAAAATATATCAAAGTGAAAAATATTTTGACATTTTTCACTTCGCCACCAAACATCACTTTTTTTTTTTTCTACCTCAACAACTACTATCACAACCAATTAAAAGGAAATTCCTTTTTAATTCAATTGTTCTATAAAAATGAATGTTTATTATAAAAAAAATAAAAAATAATAAAAAATAAAATATAAAATAAAATTGAATCTAACAACATATGGCAACATCTAAAATATTTTAACAATATGATGTTTACTCTTTAAAAAAAAAGATATACACCAAAAACTTAATTTTTTTTTTTAAAAAAAAAAAAAGTATATACCAAACTAAAAAATCTAAAAAAATAATTTTTTTGTTTTTTTATTTTTTTGTAATACTATTATAAGCATTGGGGATCATATCTTGTAAATAGAGACTTTGGTTGTATATGATTTAATTTTATGTTTTTATTATTTTTTATTAAACTTTTAAATTTTATTTTTTAATTTTTTAATTTTATTTTTTTTAATTTTGTTATATATTTTTCTTTTTTCAAAACTTCATCATTTCTTTTATAAAAAAAGATAAATTTAATTGTATTTTCATTTAGGTAAAATAAAAAAGAAAATAAAAAAAATAGAAGTAAGTTATTATTATCATTTTGAAAAAAAATGATCACTAATAATTTCATCATTAATCATAATTCCATTTTAATTGTTTTGTTTGAATCAAACTCTATAATATTTGAAATCTTTTTTTCTTTTTATTTTTTTCTTATTTTATTGTGGTGTTACTAATTTTTGATCAAATTGTTTTCTATAAAACCATATTCATTTATTTTATATTTACAATAAAACAAAGTATTGTTTTGAATTGGTTCATTTTTTATATTTTCCCCAAACACAATGCTATTTTAAAAAAACTGGAAACAAACGCTAATCACAAACATACACACATATACAAATCACACACACACACACACCACAATATTTTAAATAAAACAATTTTTTTTATTTTTTTTTTATTTTTTAAAAAGTGGTTATATATCATATTTTTAAATCACCCCTTTTCAAATCCTTCACAATTTTCTTTTTTAAAATTATTCGTTTAAATTCAGAACAACTCTAATAATTTAATTTTCAACTAATTGAAAAAATAAAAAAAAAATAAAAAAAAAATAAAAATATACAAAAATATTCAACATCATATCATCATTTTTTATTGTATGTACTGTTATATAATTTTAGAACACAATAACTTTGATGTGTCTCAAATTTAGAGATTATTTATGGGTTGGGGGTGGTATTTTTTTTTTCCAAATTTTTGTTTTATTTTTTATAAAATTTTTTTTTTTTTAATTTTTTTTTTTAATTAGGTTTAATTTATTTATTTTTATCTTATCTCGCACTGTTATTTATAGAGTGGAAATAAAAAATTTTTATTATTACCCCCCCACTCACTCACACACACACATATAGCTTTTTTTTTTTTTTTTTTTTTTTTTTTATTTTAATTTTATATATTTTTTTTTTTTAATTTTATTATTTTTTTTATTTTTAATATATATAATTAAATCATATTTTTTTATTTATATTAATACAAAGCATAAAAAAAGTTTTTATTTTTTTTACTTTTTTCATATTTATTTTTTTTGTACATTAGTATTTATTAAAGAAAAAAAAAATAAAGTGAGTATTTTAACAACATCCAAAACCAAATCAATGTTCAGTTTTGGAATTCATATTTGATTGGAAAAGAATAAATAGTTTATTTTTTGTAGCATATGGTATTTAAATTGTGTTAAGAGTAACAGGGAATATAGAGAGGAGTAGTGAAGTGTATAAATAATATTAAAATAAAAACAGCAGCATTACAGTAACCAATTTCGACATACATAGGAAAGACATAAAAGTTCGGCAAGCATAATATTAATACCCAATAAAAATAGGTATATCTCAAATATTAAGGGTGATAATCAAGATTGATTTTATGTATAAACACAATAACAACAAAAAATTATAATAATTATAATAATAAATAATAATATATTTAGAAATAAAATAAATAATAAATAAATAAATAAATAAATAATGAATTCATATTTTTTAAAATAGAATAACAATTTTCAGCACCCTCCCACTATTTCACTCTTCTCACTCTGCATTCCAAACTCACACAATTTCACACAACCAAAAAAAAATACAAATTTAAAAAAATAATATAATAATTGTATTGTGGCATATTTATTATTTTTTTTTAAAAAAAAAAACACAATAACAAAAAAGAAAATAAAAATTATAATCAAATTAACATATACACAATATATGTATTAAAATATTATATTAAAATTTTATAAAGTATTTGTTTAATTTAAACTAAAAATTCAAAGGAAAGAAAACAATAAAAAAAACGTCACAATAATAAAAATAAAAAAATCATAACAAATTTAACAATAG